AAAAATGCTATAAAACCTCCTATTAAGGATTATAATATTACTTGGACTGACCAGATTATTGATGATTCCTTACCAATAGTTGCTAATACAACTGATAAACCAACTATTAGTTTCTTCAGTGATAATACTACACCTCCACCAGCTGTTCAAAACATCTTTACGGATATAAAAATTCAACAAGCACCATTTTTAATTCCACCAATTTATCCTGGTGCTCGATTCATAGTTTATTGTATTTTAGAAAAAGGCGTTGAAGCATGTAAAGAAATTACCTTGAGTGCAGGTTCTCATGATGGTCCTATGAAGCTTTCTATTCCATTAGATCCCGTAACCTTAAAAGGATCAAAAATACATACACTTGCTGCCAGAAAACTTATTCAAGATATGGAAGATGGAATTTCATTTATTCATAAGCATCCAATAAATGCGGAAAAAAGTTTACCAAACTCGCTTATTCGTAAGAAAATTGTAAAATTGGGTATAATATATAATTTGGCATCTCAATATACAAGGCAATTTTTTATAATTTTTTTTAACGTATTATTTTTTTACAGCTAATATGAATATTAATCACTTTTTGATATATTTAGTTTTCTTGCAATTGATGAAAGAGATAATGAGTTAGTGGCAGAAGCCAAAAGTTTACCAGGCCAAAGAATAGTCCCTGTTCCTACTACTGCTTATTCAGCTTATCCAGCTCCTACTTCAGCTGCTTATTACTCAAGATCAGCTGCTTATTCTTCACCTCCTCCTCCTCCAGCTGCTAACTTTTATTCAGATGCTCCTCCAGCTGCTAATTTTAGTTCAATTCTAACTAATTATGTCTCTTCATTTGAGACTCGTAAAGCTCCACGTTCTTATTCTTCTGAATCTATAAAATGTAAGTAATATATTATCATAATCCAAAAGCACTTCAATATAATGTATAATTTGTTAATGTTCTGAGTTTTTTATGGATCAGTACCTCAATTTCCAGGAGGTAGTGATTCTGCTATACAGGATGCTAGTGTATCAAAAACATCCAGAGTAACATCATTTTCTTCAAGTCCAATGCTTTCTAATAGAAGTCGACTGTCTCATCAGTCTTATTCTATGTCTTTGAATGAGGATGCGGGTTCATTTGACTCAGATTCTGATTTATATCATTTATGTTGTGAAAAATTAAGTGACTTTGTTGAGCTGGATGATTTTTTATCCGACAACAACAAAATTAATAATTCTTTCAAACAAGTTTTACCAGCTATTTCTGTAAAATCAAAACCTCCAAAGATTGAAACTCTTTATAATTTTCTCAATTTTCAATCATTTGATGGTTCATTTTTACCATCTTCTAAATTTTATTCTTGGTTTGATAAAAAAGATTTTAAAGATTTTGAAGTTATTGGTGTTGAAAATGAAAAAATATTATGTTTGGCATTAGCAATGGTATATTTAGAAATTATAATGTTTGAAGCATTTAAAGATGAATGTGAGATGTGTTATGAAAAAGCAAAAAAAGCTTTAAAAAAAGAGGTTGGTGATGATGAGCAAAAGATTATTGAGATTTTGAAAAAATCTAAAGAATGGGTTAAAAAGTGGGCTGATGAATAATTGCTTAGTACGGGTAATTTTATCACTTTAGATACATTACATATTAATATTACTAGTTAAAAGGTTTATATTAATATTTTATCTAATTATTGCTATTTAAGACTAAACTTTTGGGATTGCATATATTATAATATTAAATAATAAAAATAAATAAATTATATTTTAATTAAAATCTCAATTATTAAATTTGTATATAGAACTAGGAGCTTGAGTTGCTTAAAGGGAGTTAAAAATAATTGAAACATGTATTGTGTCGTACTAGTACATTAAATAAGCTTGATTATTGCCTATAAAATATAAATCGTACTTGGGTACTTGTAATGCATATGGAA